TCAGCCAAGTTTTACCAAATCTGCCACATCAACCAGCCAGAGAGCTCACCGGGCTCACGTCACAGCATGTCACAAAACACCACACTAATCCGATTTCGATGCTCCAAACTCCGAGAATTTGGTCCCCGAACGTCACAAGATTGCTGGCAGCACTCACAGGCAGCTCCGATACCCCAAATCGCACACCAAATGGCATAGCCTCAGCTTCACAGCTTTGCTCCATGTGACTCCAGCCAACTGGCAACCGCAACCAATGAGGTGAAAACCCACTTCCTCAAACATGTACCATGACACTTACGTGCACAAATAGTGCGCTTCTGTTGGAATCACCCCTCAGTGCGGTGGATTGCTCTGATTTACTCACGGCGAGCCCTAACCACCCCCTTCCGTTCTCATGTACGATCAATCCAAATTGGACTAGCGCACGAACTCACAGTTCACTTCCCATCAACTAGAAGAAGGCAGTCCTATGTCTTACATCCCTTCCGTTCTTGTAAGCCTTGTTCCCTTGCTAAGCATGAGTTCTTTACGCGCTGTTGTTTGAAAGTCAATGGAATCCGACGGCCATACGCCACTTTCCCAGGGCGAACACCGAGCCCATAGGGAGTCATGCCAAGTCCAGCCACTCGCACATGCAGCTAGCCGTTCAACGCATGGCTTGTAGCAATCATATTGCCAGTCGGGTCACACGGGTTTGTCTCACTGCGGTTGTCCTTTGATTTCCCTTCAAACAACCCACTAAAAGCTTGCTGGTTCTCATGGCATGAGGGAATGATCCCTATAACCAATCTTTTGTGGCTTCCTTAAGGGAAACCCTAGCCTAGCTTCATTCCCAAAACCCTGACTCATTCATTCCCTACCAATTTCGCACCAGCGAGAAAGGGTACCAACTCAAAAACACGAATGCGCCAACCACGACGAATCCCCTGACTTGTTGGGCCCGCGCAGTCCACCATTGCCACCAATGCCTTGGGGTCCGCGGCCTCTCGGTTCATGTTGGGATCCTCCGTGAGAGGCGAATCGGTCGAAGCGGATGACACGGAGTAAACGGGGACACCAAAGGAGTGGAACGGAAAATGGACAGCAACCCCCCATTGGAATATTGGGATAGGTGTGGAAAGGCCTGTTCGGCTGTAGTAGAGAACCAAAATAGCAACGTGGGAAAATAATGGAAGACTCCCGATATCTTGGATTGCTTTTCGCAACATTGATACGAGGATGCCGGTCTTTTCCACGCATGTTGGGCTGCTCGCCCAAGGGTAGGGCCTTGATAGGCTTGGGCCTTTGGCGCGACTCCGAAAAAATCCAGGCAGCCGAATCGCAGCCTTCTTAAAAGTGGCCCTCAGAACGCACTTTTTGATCCACCCTCGGGGTTTATTTATGGCACGAGTTCGCCAAAAGGCGTGCAGGTCCTGCGAAAGTCCGTGGGCATGAGGAGTGACACGGCGAGTTGGCCAAAATGAACATTTTCGACAGTCGAGTCGATCTGGGACGGGATCGCCTCCTTTCCCCCAGTTGGTGGTTTGGTTTGGTTTTGACCTCAGGGATGCCGAGCCCATTTGGCGTCAAATCCCCAAACCACCCATCCAAACCACCAACCAAGTGTATCCTGAACAAATGGGGGGGGGGGGGGGGCAGGTTCTGAAGCCCTGGAAGTTCCAACCTTTTTCTCATACGCTGTTCAATGATATTTTTTCGGTAACAGCATATCCCTTATCACTTTCTGAATATGATCTTTTTATGTCTTCCTCTTGGCTTTGAAGGGAACCTAAGACCTATCAGTACCCAAGGTTTGCGTCAACATGGGACTGGATGTTACGCCCACTTCCTTGTAGCCGCTCTGCAGCTTGGTGGTCAGCAGCAGCAAAAAGCTCTGCACCAGGTTCTGCTCTTGCGCTGGCGACACCTGAGCTTCAGGCGCAGCCAAGCGGAGTCACAATCAAAACCCGGTATTAAAATGGTTGACGCTGGGATTGTCCCTTACTAACCTTCATCTACCCGGGTTTTGATTGTGACAAGGCAACCCAGAGACTGAAAGGCTTCGTAAAGGATGTTTAATTACCAACAACCAACTGGCTGTGGGTGCAAAATTGGGTAACCCCATAATGGCTTGCCCTGGTGAATGGAACCAAGGACTAAAAGCTGCGGTCCTCTGGTTTAACTTTGACCCAACTGGATAATTTGAGAATGAATGCAGGCAATTCGGGCATCAGCGTACTTAAACGCTTTGGGAGACAAGTCCACTTGCGGCTCGGGTGGCAAGATTGCCAGATTCTACCGTCACACCGAGTGGGACTGCGTCACAGGATTGCCCGATCTTTTTCCGCTGACCGCGTCAAACTTGAACTTCTTCCCTACATTCACGCATTGCGCTCCACCGGGGAAAAGGGAGTCAAAATGGGACACATTTAGGGCCCAGGCGGTTTTGCACTGCCTGGAGACATAGCTTACCAGCGGAGGAACCTGTGATGTCTCGGCAAAAGGACGTCGGTCCGTGATCAGCGCATTTTGAAGGACCCTATCATTCCTGGAGATTTCGTGACACTGCTCATTTGCTCATGGCCTCAACGTGCTGGCGGCTGCACAATGCAAACAAACCTGCAAACATGCAGTCCCGCTCGGTGCCAGGCCAAAAACTCGATCATGCCGGTAACCGCCGCCCGCTCGGTTTCATCCATCTCCTGCAAGTCGAAAGAACATTGTACCATTGCAGAACATCTTCTCCTGCAAGAATCTCTTGTCCTGCTGTACGAAATCCTGCACCACCTAAGAAACCATGAAAAACCACTGCTTGTTGGTATTTCCAGGGAGGAATCTTCTTTTTTGGAGGGAAATCACCCCCCTATGAAATTTATATCAAAAATTAACTTGTACCATTGCCAGCACCATTTCGTTGCCCCATCTCCTGTGGCAGGCCGCCCTTCAGAGTCTTGGCCTCAACTCCGCCGGCCAAAACGTGAAGGATGACGTTCAATGCGACTCAAAACGCGTCCCTTCAAAATCGGCACCCTCCAATATGTATGCAAATGTTTACAATATGTCCAAAAACAGGATCCCCAAGTGAAAAAAATATTCTTCATGATGATCTCGTTTTGCCCCCGCGAGCTCGCCATAAAATATGCATATTTGGGCTCGGCCCAAGTGCCATTCTCAGAATTCTCGAGCCGGGCGGCGATGAGGTGCTGGTAGCCCATGAGGTGAGGCTCGAAGAAGACCTGCACAGAGCACACGCAATCCCAGCGTGGTTTGGTGGTTTGAACACTAGAGGGGCACCCTCCTCAATAACAGGTACTTGGGGTTCACATCCCCAAACCATCCAAACCAAACCAAGGGGTACCTGACAATCAGCAACATTGCGACAACACTTGGGGCGCATACCTTGGTGCCAACATACATGTGGAAGAGGATGCCTCCCATTGCCAGCCCCCATTGCCAGCTGCAAGGGACGGTTCATCCTGCACCTTCTTAACGAAACAACATCTTCCAGGACCCCTCAAGCAGATTCCAAGCTACTGTGGACTGGAGGATATTCCTTCTGAGGCCACCGCCATGCCGTTGCGGGAGATGGTGGCAGGGGATGCCACTTCCACGTCCTCGGAATGTCACGGGGGAGTTCCACGGGTTCCTTTCGACTGGGCCATACGGATCTGACAAACTGCGAAAGTGAACTTCTTGCTGGTTGAACGGACAATGAAGGAAAACCAAAGGGCAGAAAGGGGAAATGGTATCTGGACATTTAGAAAAGGGTGCTATTTGCATGTTCAATGGAAAATGCAACAGCAGGCATTTTCACACTTCGAAGGCATCCATACGTTCATTGACACCATGTTGCTACGTGTCAAAATGAGGGAACTCTTGTGGGGATTGTTTCAAAAGGAAACCAGCCGAAAATCTCTAATGTTGACATGTGCCAAAACATGTTTGAGTTACTCCGCGTTGATACATCCCTGCGTAAAATATGGATAGCAACCTTCCTTCATCAGAACATGTCATACCTCCGTAACAGCACAAAGTCGTGGGCATCGCCTGCATATTCGCCTGGACGGCAACTGTTTTCCTGAGCGGGCCGCCATGGGCTCAATGATGGTCCGCATGTTGGCGGACATGGCCTGACTGCGCAAATTCGAAAGCCTGGCCCTTTCACTCGCCAGCTCAGGCCAAAGGAACACTGGCTACCCGCAGAAACAAAGAAGCAGGCCGTGAAGCAAAAGTGGGGTCCAAGGCCCCTTGCAAGCTTCCGCCAATACTACACAGGCTGCCAATGGTAGAGGTTCATGAACAGCATGCTTCTGAACGGGGCCGGGCCCAACATGTTGGCTAAGCTAGGTGGATAAAATCGCATTCAACTATCCCTTCAACGCACCCCTTATGCCCGAAATCCCCCGGCGAAGTGAAGAAGCGGCGAAGTGAAAGTGCCGGGGGCACAATGATCTCCCCGCTGTTGAGGCAGAGCTTCTTGTTCTCGTCCATGACTGTGTTCCTGGAATGGAGGCCAAACCCAAGAGTCAGTTCCTGAAAGCGAATCAAAGAGAGGACCTCCAAAGAAATGTGAGTGGAATTTCCTGGCCGGTTTGTCTCAGGAATGCTTCTGTACTTTTCTCATGATTGCTGCGTGCGCCAAGTCAGGACCTCCCCTTTGTGATTCAAATGGGTATAGATCCCACATTCGGACAGGCCGTCAACCTCCTTTGACGGGCGAGTAGTTGGATCAACTTATCAACTTGCTGCAAGCCGGTTCCCACACATGTCTCGTGATTTCTCATGAAGCAAAGCACCTTTTGGGGTGTGGGATTAAAGGGCAACAAAAGGGAATAACACGTTTTTGACACTCCCACATAAAAGGCCACGCCCAGGCCACGAGGATGTTTTGTCTTGAAGTAGCTGTTTTGGGGGTTGGTGTAAAGGGAAACCAAAAGGAAACCCGAATTCCAGTTTGGTGTCACCTGATTGCTTCCTTGGCGCCACCAAACCAAATTTGTTTCAATTTGGGGTGCCAAAGGCAATGGCTGATCTGCAAGAAGTGGAGAGCGAGGCTTCACACAAAGTACCTGCGTCACGATTGCTTTTCGGGCGTCTAGTCACTCTTGGGGTACGAACTGAAAAGCTGCGTGACATGCCGTGCAGGATGTTCACAAACAAACAACACATGTGCAAAAACAATCACTGCAGCAACTTCACTGCCAGCACTTTCGGCTTTGTCTAACAGGCACTGCGAACAAAGGCCTCCAGGACACGCAGGCAGGGGATATGCAAGTGTCAGACTGTAAACCCACGGTTTGAGGGGGGTCCCAAAACTTTGGATTTACGAAACCATCCATCAAATGAGTCAAGGAGTGCAAAGCATCTTTGATGGCTGTAGCCAGACTCAGAGCTTGCTGAGCGTCATGTTCTCGATCCAGACAGCATCCACCGGACCATCAAAGACCAGCCACTTGCGCTCCTCAGGGCGGATTCTGACTCGGCTTCCGCGACAAAAAAACAACAACTTCAAGTTTGAGGATTGGCTGATGCGCTCCTACACCAGGACCTGTGGATGTGTCAAGCATTCCTGGACACGTGGCTAGATTGGATGTGCAAGAAAACGCTTTTCGGAGTACTTCGTAGTTCCAGGCGTTAAGCATGTCTCCTCCGTCTGATTGCGGGCAAACTCGCGGAAAAGCACGGCAACGATGCCATCGACCCACTCGCGAGACACCTGCGACCGCGAGCTTAGTCCCAAGAGGTCAAGGGAGGGTCTGCTGAAGCCGTTGTTGAAAGCACAACCTGGCTCAAATCGAGCGAAAGCACAAAAGCCTCGCCTCACGCCTCACCTCAAAAATCAAAGCCATAGGCCAGCCAACGGCTGGAGCATTCGGAGATTTTACATACCTGGACCAACCAAGGGCACTTTTTTTGCGACTCTCTGCAAAAATCCGTGCATTTCCTTGAAATCCATACATTTGAGCAAAAACTGTACTTTTCTTGCAGGCTCAACATCTGACACAGGAGCATTTTGCTACCGTTTTTCTGCAAGAATCTCACTTTCAGCTCCGGCCATGGCACTGGAGATTGTCATGCTCATACCATTTGAAGGTGTGCAATTCACCAAGGACAAAACGTGCCCATTTCCTCAAGAAAATGTTCCGCTGATTTCCGTGCATTTTCCGCAGATTTCCGTACTTTTCCCGCCGATTTCCGTGCATTTCCCGCCGATTTCCGTGCATTTGCGGTTCCTGCATTTTGGCTGAGAAAACTGCAAACTCGCAAAAACGGCAAGGAAGCTGTCACACATTGCCCCACAGCAATTGGAGAAGAAATGCCTGAAACGGAATTAAGTATGACGGGCCGTGTAAATTGCAAACTGTGTTCATGTGCATCCAAGTGCACCACAAACGCTCACAGCCTGCTAAAAGCGATTTCCGTCAAATTTCCTCAAAAGTGTACATTGACACTTTTTTCTGCATGTACGGAAATTTCAGTACTTTTGGAGGGTTCAGGTATTTTACCTCCCTTCTTGACCTTTCAGACAATGTCTCTGCCTCCTCGAAGCAGCCATACAAATCTCTGGCCGGGATGGACTTCGGGTTCAAGCGCGCCTCGGCTGGGTGCTTTGCGGCTTTGCGGCTTTGCAGCTTTGCCGGTCTATGCTCCAAAGCTTCTCCCAGAGCTCGGGAAACCAACATGCACAAGTTTAAATGAAATGATGTTCGACTCCAAACAAAGAAGCTGGCGATGAGACACCGCAAACGATGCATGGTGAACAAGTGGATGAACACTGATTTATATCCTTGCTTTGATTCAGGATTCACTCGAATACTACTACTTGACCCTGCTCGATGTAGCAAAGCCGAGCACCTCTTCTGAACATAAGGCGCTAACAAGGCCCTTTGAACACAAGAACGACTCTCTTCGCTGTTCGATCAGCGCTCCGCCTGGTGCACGATGCAACCCGGGTGCATGCTCCCGTCCTGCACAAGAGCCAACCTATCTCCGGTATCTGGCGACTGAAGCTCCACAATTCAAGTGCTACGTTGTGCACTCGACGGGTTTACTACAACATGCAAAGAGGCTGGTCTCCAACGTCATGTGACCAGGCTTTTGCTGCACTGCACCTACTTCAAAGGACTGCTGTGTGTTGCAGAACCTGCTGAACCCACAGATATCCACAGCATCCATTGCCAACCAGTTCACATCCTAGAACACGATGAACCCCTACTTCGGAACATTATATCTCCATTCTGTCCCAAGACGTCGTTCTCGCAAAAAGAAAGAGCAGAACTTCCTTTTGAGACAAGCAGAATCAGCATGAGGGCAAGTCCTGTTCCAGATGCGAAGAAGAAGAAAAAAGAAAACAGTGCGGCATTCAGGAGCAACGCGTCCTCCGTTGATCTCTGTTGCCCTCCACTCAATCCTTTGACCTAAAGAAAGTCCCCGAATCTGCAACCGAACGCCTGCGCCAGGTCGGAGAGGGATTTCTGCAAGGTGTTCAGTGCCGTGGTCTTGCCGCTGAAGGGCATGCCCACCAGCATCACGCTATGCCTCGCGCTCTGTGATCTTGCTGTTTCAACCAAAGCGCTATAAGTCCAAAGATCCAACAAAAAAAAACATATCATATCTTCCGCTTCCTTCCTCTCAGAATTTTTTGGGGGTATTCGTGGCATTGAGCTGAAAAAAGCGCCAGAACTGCCCTCCCCTTTCGGCCCAAACAATCAGAGGGCCCCCACCACTATTTCATGGAGTTATAGTAAGATCTATATACCCTTTGTGTCCAGGTTGGTAGAATCACACGTCAACGGGTGTGGGTCGCTGCTGAAACGTTGTTGACCCTGGCACAATCAATTGGCACTGTGGCCCTGTACTTTGTGAAGTCATGCTGCTCTGGGGATGCTCTGGATGGGGTCAATGATCATCCTCGTCAGCCCCGAGCAACAATGTGTCTTTGCGCTATGGCACATTATGCATGTTCATTTGCCTGCTGACCTGATTCTGCTTGTGGATTGCTGCAAATGGCACCAATGTGTGTCTTTCACCTATACTCGAAAATAGATGCCAAGGTATGGCAAAATAACACTAATCTAGACCCGCTTCCAATCAAGGAGAACTCTGGCATGAGTTGCAACTCATCTTGCTTGTTCAGAAAGGTATGGGGTCAGCCATTGCCGGCCTGACAAGGTGGCACTCGTAGAACTGGATGATCTTGTCGATAAAGTACGGATGGGCCTGCCAGGCTCGGTTCGTGGGTCATGGCGAAGCATGGCCCTCAATGCATTGTATGCTTCAATTCAGAAGGGTCAACACCCTGAAACGAGAAATCAGTATGATGACTAGCGCCCTGTCCCATCTGCGACTCATTTAACCAATTACTTCCTACCATCCCTGCCTTTGCCTGCGCAATTGAAGTGGACCAGCATCTCAGAAATAGGGCGCTGTTGGAACGAGTGCCCCAGGGTCGAAATTAAGCAGCGGCATTGGTCAGTCTTCATGCGGCTGCCTGGCAGTAGGTGACATCGAGATTTTCTGTCAGCTTGTTGACCTTGGCATCAAAGCCGCAGCCATGCGGTCTCTGACATAATCGGCTGTGGCAGGCCGGCTGTCCAGGTGAATGGTGGGTTTGCAGAAAGAACAGCTAGCTGGACCTGTTGAGCAATGGCACAAAAGGAAGTCAGCCCCCAACCTTTCAAACTCAAAAGGAGGCAGAACCAACATACCCAGGCTGATCCGAGGCGTTCGCCATCATGGAGTAGTCCGGCTTGGGCAGCTCCCTGCATGCGCCAATGGGCAGTTTACTCAGATCCGCAATGAACAGGGCATGCCAACCTGCGTCTTTTTGTCATGCTTCGTGGCTCGCTTCATGCTTCATGCATAAGGATTTTCTTTGGCTGCCGTCTCCCATCTGTTAGGCAAGGGAGTTGAGCTTCCGACACGCCAGGAAAGAGATCTCGAGTGATGCCATTGTAGAGTGGCACCTGACACTTGTGACGTGCACCCCATGGTTGTACGATCTACGCGTTTTACCTGGTAGAAACATGCGAACAATTCCCATAAAAGCATTAACTTCTTGTCGAAATCGTCTCCGGAAGCTTCTCATGTAGGCGACATCATGCTGAGGTACCAACGTCAAAGTCTAAAAACTTTGCGAGGTTCACGTCGTTCACAGATTGCAACATCAGGATGCTCCTTGCACGGACCACAGCGGTTGGCATTAGGTGCACAAGGCTTATGCTCGAAGGCGGCTTCTGCAGCGGACATAAACACGTGGAGGGTAAACCCACAGAACAGCAGGGTTTGGCTTTCTCCCGGCATCATAATAACCAGTTCTACATGCTTCGTAACAGTCGTCGACGACAAAAAAAGAGCTGAGCAAGCGATTCAATCCAATGGCAAAAACTGATTCCTGCCACTCGCAAGCCTCTACGTCATTCATTCTACGCACAAGTCTGAGGCAGGGACTCTTTCTGATTCGGGTGATTCCGCTTAAGCCTGGCACACACCCACACAATGCCACGTATCCGCCAGTACAGCTGCACGTGCCAGTGCTAAATCCTACAAACAACAAGTTGAACAATTGCTTAAAGCATACAACTTAGAACTTCTCGAAAACATGTATATAGCTGGAAATGGCCCCATGTCCGCCCATGTCCTCCCAAAATGGTAAGCTCTCTGAGGCCGGCGACCGTCCAGCTTGCACCAGCACCGCGAAGACGGCGCGCATACCGTAGTCATAGTGCCTTGCGTGTGACACATGCCGGGACCCTCCTGAAGCTGCCAAGGGAAAAGTGGCAGAAAAACTCAGTCGTCCTTCTTGCACGAGGCCCAAGTTACAAAAGTCGCCCGCACTTCGGACTTTTTCACCGTCGCCCATATTGAGCAGTGGCGAAGCTGGGACGCCAGCTTCTGCGAGGAGAGTTGCTCGGAGCAAAGCTTGTAGGTGGTAACCTGACGGCACGGGGCTTCCATGGGTCAGCGCCCAACGAACTGCAACCACGCTCACCTCCGTGCTGGGGCCAGGGCAATTTTCTGCGCAAGAGAGCGCGAGTCCTGGCAATCACAAATTCAGGAGCAACTTGGAGCAACGGAAATTGGGAATCTCCTCGTATCCGTAGGAGTACAGCTTGATCTCTGCAATCATCGCGTAGTCTGGCACCTCGACAAACATTTGTGTTCCCCAAAGAAAAGAAAAGCAAGGGTAAACCGGTAAACCGCAATGCAACTGTCTGTGTATCGCTGCGATGTGGGACAACATGGTGAGAATCACGCTCCTGTTGCTGAGCATCTTGCATGTCTGCATGGCAAACAATTCGAACACGCATTGCCACAAGGCAAAGGCTCCCTGCATGATGTGGCTGTGTCAAAAATCAGTATTCAAATTGGAACCCTGGTAAATGGAACCAAGGACTAACACCTGCAGTCCCCGGGTGGTTTCATTTAATATCATGCCTTCAACGCTGTCCATCTGCGACAAGTGACCCCCCCCTCTTGCGAAACTCGCTGAGCCCTGGGCCATCATGGCCACTGTGCGAAACAACGCCTGCCACAAACGCTGCATCTGATGGCTGCCCTTCCTCCCACAAACGTTGCATCTGTGGAAAGGACCTGGAAGATCGCTCCTCTGGAAAAACACCCTTGTCAGGTAGTATGCTGGTGAGAGGGAGAGGATCTGCTCAAGCGGTCCGAAGTCCTTCATCCGTTCGCTGGCAGAAACGAGCAACCTGTCATGTGTCATCACATACGCTGTGCAAACAGCCAAGTATTCATCATACTGCTTATCATGGGCAGAATGCCTGCCCGTCCGCCATTCCATCCTGAACTGTACCTACCTGTAATGACTTGAGATGGTTCCCTTCTTTTAAGGCAGCGTTCCATTTAAATCTGCTGATCATTGCCTTTCACTGCGCGTCTTAAGTGGCATCTGTCTGTGTGGGTGTGTGTGCAGGTCATCTCTTCCGAACATCAACTGCTTGCTCGAGAAGGTTTGACTGTTGTGACAGAGACCCAGGTGTACCTGCTGAGTTGCTGAAAAAAATGTTGATTCACAGTCACTTCTCCTCAATTTGTAGGAGACAGTCTTAGCTTCCATTGCAGGCGTCATCACAATGGCTAGCCCATTGACTTTTCAAAAGGACAAAGGACCAGGCTGTTCATCTCGCGCACCATCGAAGTCATAAGCCCCTCATATCAAGCGTGAACCTCAAACAAGTAAAGAGCCTCCATTTGCGCACCGGCGGGCGTGACGCGCGACTGGCACGCTCGATCGCTCGCACGCTCACCTTGAGGTTGTCAGGCAACTCGGCCCGGCCGGCGTAGCCTGGGTTCATGGTGATGAAGCCTCGGCTGGAAGAGCTGCCGAACCACCAGTGTGGAGGGAACCCTACAAAAAGTCATGGGACAATGGACATCTGGTTGAAACCAAAACTGTGGGGAATTCACGAAAGCGGATGAATGCGTCCGTTTTGACGAGTCTCAACATCAACTGCTTGAACTGGGCTGTGCCGTTTGCCATTTATGGCCTTGGCTCGCGCTCACCAGGCAATCAAACAATGCGTCAAAGCCAACATGGGCCTTCCCTCTCAGCAGTCTATTTGCAAGCTCGGCCTACTGGCAACTCTACGCGATTAGCGAGTCAAGCATGCGCAAATCGGAGCCCAGTCGGCACATTAGCGCATGCGTCGCACTGTCATCCACTCAGGGGGTGGATTGGCCAAAAAGAAAACCTCGACTGCATGCCCCGCACCCGGCCAGCGGTGTGAAGGAGCGCGGCTCTGTCGGGTACGGCAATTTCATCCGGCTAAAAGTCTTGCCTGAAACACGCCCCATCTTCTGCGCCATCGAAATGATCAAAAGCTAGCGAGCACGTGCCTTACTCATTCTCCTCGCTCTATACTTTCTCCACATACGTTCTGATGCTCGTGATCTCTGCCTGTTTTGGCCTGGGAGCCCTAGTATAAGCCAACATCCTCCACAAGGATTGTATGGATTCTTCGTTCAATCACACAAGATGACCAGTGCACGGTCCCGGGTCAAAGCGGTTTGACTGCATCATCAAGGCTTGACAAGCTGTGCTATGCATATGGGGATGTGTCGTTGCCAGCAGGCCCCTGACTCTTGGAGATGGACACCTCCGCAGTCCAGACCAAATTGGGCATTTCAAATCGGGTACCTTTCGCTGGACATCATCTGAGATGGGCCAAGCGAAACGACGGGCAGAGTGCCCGGCAGTTGCAGGTCCAAATGATCGGCAGCTCCGTTCCTTCGAACTCAAAGTGAGTCCTCTTCTCCTAGCAGAGAAGACTGTGAAGCAAGTAGGGAACGTGTGTTAAAAACTTGGACTTTACAACAGTTCAAAAGGGTTTTGTGGTTGGATGTGGTTGGTTCACTTGCAATAGTGAATTCACTGTATCAACAACCCCCGAAGGGTCCACGAAGTGGTAAGACAAGAATGCATGAGGTATACAGGAACTGGCAAAAGGGGGACTCAAGCCAGTTTCAACCTGACATCCCTCGAGGTTTGCCTTGCTCTCGCAACATGATCGCCTTGGGTTCGTGACCATAACCCCGAACTCCCATGAGGTCTTGTGATGGTCCTGGTGGAAGTGCAAACCCCATTCTTCCAACCTTTCCTTATACCTTCCATCATTTCCATCGTCAACCCCACGCAACGTGTCTGTCCATTTGCAAACCTGCAGGGCTGAAGACAAAAAACTTGCAATCCAACAGGGTGCATAATTGTGCCATAGCCCCAACAATACTGCTTGTGCCCCGCAACGGACACGGACAACATGATGCTTCGTTCGGTCCAACACTGTGTTTGTAGTACAAATAGGAGTTCTGACCCTATCTGCTCCCAAACTCAAAAGTAAACCAGTCTGGGCAAACTACTATACTCATCAAACTGGAAAGGGCACTCGCCCTTTCTTGCGGACCTTCATGGGCGACCTCATTTTACCTCCAGTCTAGGTAAACTCCTTCCGACTTGCGAATGGTAACATTGTCAGCACAAGTAGCGCTCCTTGATGGCATTTTGAATGCAAAGGATCTGCTGCGCAATGACGCTCAGCACCTGCACATGGCAAAGACCCTTCCCAAGGAGACCTCACGTGGGGATGTTGGCACCTGCGGATGCCTCGCTGCCCTTTGGGCAAGCCCAAAGTGAACAATGTCAGAGGCTCGAAAAAACCTCGGGGCGTTGGGTCTTTAACCCTTTCCCGTCGCATTGTCCAAAACGTACCACACCGAGAATCCCCCCTTTGGGGCATCCATTTGCGAAGCCACCGAAGTCGCCTCCGCGTCGATGCGGTTGAACTCATCAAAGCAGGCCCAGCCGCCGGAGGCTGCGAGGCCTTCGACAACAGCACTCACGACACCAGGGCTCGGCTCTGGCTGACAGGTCAAGGGGGGAAAAGTTCAAAGGTTCAACCAAAGAGCAGTGAGATCTGGACTTAATCCATTGAAGGGAACCATGTACGCCGGAAACTCACATTGCGAAAGGCGGACTCACGAAGCAACACCGAACAGTGGCAGCAAAGCTGCGAGGTGTATCTTTAGAAGGGCCGTCTATGCATAGTGCTAGTGCACAACTCAAACTGTTACTGAAGTAGCCCGTGGCACATGTCAGGCACTGATGTCTCGTTGACAAGGCATGCTCTGCGTCCAAGGTGCTCTCACCCATCTCTGTGCAAATGATGGCGGTCCAAGAATCTGGGGTATGGGGTAGATGGACATCTTGCCCATGAGTTAAGCTGATGAGCGTTGACTCCGAACTATACTCCTCCACTGAGTGTGATTGTCAGCCCCTGCTAGTGCCCAACTCACATTTGGAATCCCAGTGTCCAAAAATGTCCAACGATGGGAAGAATTGTTTCCAGCACGAGTTGTTTTTGTTTTTTCGGTTGCGACTTACATCGAATCTGAAATACTGGTTCGTGAGGCATCTCAGAGGTGTCATTGTCACCTCCAAGAACAAACATGGGTCAGTCAAATACCTCGTGCGAAATGCGCATGCATATAGACTTGCAATCGGAAATACGGGAGTCACATCTCTCTGAGACTTGTTTCTACCCGAAAGCCAACGAATAGTACTCAACATGCGTGTGACTAGGCAGTCCGTGTAGAGATTATGTGTGTGTATATATATATATATATTCCATACATACATGCATGATCAGATTTATCAGTCACAATCAGTCAGTCAGTCAGTCAGTCAGCCAGCCAGCCAGCCAGTCAGTCAGCCGGCCAGCCAGCCAGTCAGTCAGTCTATATCCGCATGGACCTATGTTTGGACGCTTCATCTGAGTGGATCAGCGCTTGCAGTTGGCAGTCGCTAAGAGAAAAGCTTCCTTGATTTAACGGGAATGCAACACTGTGAAGTTGCCATGAGCTGACAAGGGCCAGAATTAGGACTGGCTTCACATCAATGCTTTCCTGAAAGCTTTTGTATGAATCCAGAAGAACACTTGAACGTCTGTCTGAAGACGTTGAGGCTGTCTGGTGACTGCATTCAAGATTTGCTGGATAGCAAACTTGCAACCGGAAGTTGAGCTTCGAGTTCTAACTGTACCCGAGTTGCGCCTTTGAAGAATTTGGCCATGGCCAAGTAGTCCAACTCATCAGAACAGTTGAACACCACGCAGAAGCGCGCCAGCGCCTGACAGGCCACCCGAAATCACAAAAACCAGACCAAAGACCATATGGATGGCGGTGGTCAAAGATCGGCGAACCCCATGGCTTGCCCTGGTAAATGGAAACATGGATTAAAACCTGTGGTCCAATTCCTGGTGACCTGGTGGTTTAATTTTGACCCAGACCCATATCGTCCCAAAAAGTTTAAAGTAAATGAACTCAAGTGAGATCAGGGCAAATATCTGCACCTGCGTAGGGATGTTCACTTGTCCCGAGTTTCGCTGTAGCAAGCAGCCAGCATGCAATGAAGCAGGCAGTCGAACGGGCCCATAAGCAATCAAAGGATCAACCACAAGCCCGTTCATGCAACACACAAGGCGGATTCTGAGATATTCGAACTTAATTGATTCGGGAACTTGTACATTGACAGCATGTGCCCCTGTCCAGGCCTTTGCCAGATCCTTGACGGTCTCCGTCTTGCCAGTTCCCGCTGGGCCCTGGCAGGCACATCTTACCCGAATCTGGGCAATGCCCTACGTATTTCGCAGAACTAATGACACGCAGCACTCAAAGCGTTGCTTTTGGGTAGAGTCGCTGGTGGTATGGAGATCTGATTTACCAATCATGGAGCGAACCAGAAAAATGCCGGGTCGAGAAGTACAGCTGAATGAAAGAACCGCTCATGCTACTGGGCTGTCCTCGCATCCCCCGTTAAACGTCTCAGTTTTAGTGGGTTAAATGGAAATCCCCACTAAACCAACCAGAAACCGAAAAAGCTGAGGAACCGGATGGCTGGGAACAGCCAGGGGTGATGAGACTTGCTGCCACCTCTGGAGCTGCGCCGTAGAGGAGATGCAGGGCCCCGCAGCCTTTCAGAGTCTCTACACCCAAAATCGTGTTCCATTCCTCAGTTGCCCCTTAAGGACCCAGAACTAAATGGTGAACCCTTTGGGGGCCATGACTAAAAATGGACCAACAAGGGGAAACCAAAAGGTCAAAAGGTGAGTTTGGGCAAGTGAAATTTGGGCTTTCCCTTCAAAAAACTCCGAACTCTTCAAAATAGCTTCCCTCAACAGGACGCGCGCACCTCTCGGGCACTGGCACTAACTAGCACTAGGAATATTTGAATGGTTCCAGCATACCCCCCTTTACAACACCAGAAGATGACAGTTGACCGTGTATTCCATGAAGTCCTTGAAGAAATCAAACCTGCGACATGGGGCCAAGGCAGGTCCGATAGCAGCGATCCTGGCTTCCGAGCAACGCTGCGTGGTTTCACGTGCGCATGCTGGACAGGAAGCCAACTTGAATACCGGGCAACAAGGCCAAAATTTTCTAAAATATCAACCAACACACTTGTTCAACTCTAGGACTGCTCCAGACTTCCACCAAAAAGCATCGCCGCAACCAGACCTACAATTGATAGAATACTATCGGACATGTGGCAAGACTCTGATTAGCGGGGGACATCATGTCGCTCTTCAAAAGGGACAGTCATTCTCAAAGAGCTGTCATTGTGTGAAGACAAATGACCAAGCAACAAGGACTGCTTGAAGGTCCAGTGTCGCGCGACGGTCAGCAGCTTTTGCAGGTGGGTGGGTGCCCCGTGTCATTTTATGACACTATCCCAACAAAGCTAGTCGGACACTGATCCTTGACCACCAAACCATTAAGACCCAGAGCGCCTGCTGATTTCAATCCTCCTATCATCTCCTATCTGCTCGTTTGCCCGTTGCGGAAACTCCGACTCTCGCACTCGCCCAGCCGCGCCGTGAGAGGCGTGACGATGAGCCGGGAGGAGTTGCCCAGGTACTCATAGGCATAGCCCAGAAAGCTGTTGGTGATGCGCACAAACCTCACTAACAGAATATTAATAAAAGATAGTGATCTGGACATGCGCCAACAACCACGCTGAGGACAACTATGGCCACGAGCACAACCACCAGAGCAGCAAGCAAGCAGGCAGGCAGGCAGGCAGGCAGGCAGGCAGGCAGGCAGGCAGGCAGGCAGGCAGGCAGGCAGGCAGGCAGGCAGGCAGGCAGGCAGGCAGGCAGGCAGGCAGGCAGGCAGGCAGGCAGGCAGGCAGGCAGGCAGGCAGGCTGGCCAGAACGCAAGCGAGCAAGCAAGCAAGCGAGCAAGCGAGCAAGCATGCTGTGCAAGGCTCCGTGTGGTTTCCCCAAAAGGACTTACATGAACTGCTGGAACTACTAGTCCCTTTGGAAGCAAATGAAACCTACTCTGTGCACCGTCGTCCACATCTCAGCTCGGCGCAGGTCAGTTTGGTGTGGCTTCTCAGGATTGTCCTAGCCAACTCTCTTGGCCACTGAATTCGGAGCATCCTGCTGGAACAAATCGCAAAAACCATGGCGAGGCCACCATGGCAGTGGAACGGAAGGCTTTGAGCTGGGAAGGTCAACTGTATCCATCAAAGACGGCAATCTGGTGACGTCAGAATCAACACCAAGCTCCGGAACCTCTCGAAGTTGGCAGCTGGGGCATCCCCCCACCGTCCTCGACGTAGTACCTGAGCTGCACCAGCCAGTCGAAGTCGTCCGCAGCTTTGATCCCGAGACCGCCCAGTTCCTCCACCGTGTCCTGCGAGTGGAGTCTACGCCGAACGCCAAACAACTGAAACCTCAAGACCTCAAGACACATCGCCGTCGTATCTGCCGACATATTAAACAAACGTTTTGTCGGCGGCGGGCTCTCACTCTCTGAATGCATCATGAATCTCAATGGATGGTGTCTTCGGGTGCCACTGCAGGGCCATGCAAAGCTGCCCTCTGCACTGAGTCACTGGCCTAAATGTCATGTCCAAAGGGCCCCTCTTGATACACCGGCTGCAGGGTCAGCGCAGGTGGGGGCAATCGAAAGCAACAACAAGCAGGTCAACTGCCCACTCGCAGATTCGCATATAGATGTGGTTATATATATATACATATATATTATGTGTATAGTGAATGTACATAACCACACGGCTTGCCTATGCTCCTGTACGTACCCATAACCGACAAAGCCCGATTGCCCCGCGTGAGCGCCTTGTTGTGCACGAAGATCACAATGAGGGCTTCCAGCGTGCATCTGGTCAGCGGCGGGATATCGTTCCGCACAAGGTCCTTGCAGTGCAAACGCGGGCGTGTGCTTGCTTCTTGGTACCCTATTTCCCTTGGTTTAAAGGGAAACCAGAAAGACAACCCAGCCATAGTTTTGACACATACCCACATGAACCCTACGGCACTGCAAACGATGCCAGGTCAATGACTGAGAATCGCAAAGTTCCCAGGCCCATCAGCAATATGGAAATTCGGAAAGCAACAACTTGATCTCACGCAAACCTGTGGCTGCTCTCTTGGGCCCGCTCAATGATCTCTGTCAGCGTGCTCCGAAGCTTCTCTGCAACTTGCGTCACCTAAGTCAAGCTCTGCTTGAGGCCTGCGTGACAGAAAAGAAAGGTGCCCATGAGAGCAGTAAAACCTCAAAGTGGGGCTGACTGAGTCCAACATGTCGACATGTCGCTATGGCTGCTCCATGCTGTTCCCACCCCAAGGACCCGGGCGCCATCGTTGTTGCGCAAGCCAGTTTCCACCTCAGCGATACCCTCATGTTCGGCCCTCGGATCAAGCCCGCCAGGCGCGCGTGATCGCCCGTGCCATTCTCAGGTTTGCGGCCGACTCCAACAGAACGTGTCACTCTGTCCTACGGCTAGTCTGTTTCCATTTGCCCCGCGCACAAGATCAAGTGTTCCAAAAGCGCGTTGAACAAGAAAACAAAGGCAGAGCACCACATCACTCGTTTGTGCAAGTAACCTCTATCCACACATTGCTTCATAATCAAAGTGCGCGCGCTTCAATGACGCGGCCATGGAGTCCTGCTTCCACGTCATCGACCCCTCTGCTTGCAGCCCAGCAGCATCGCGGGTCCAAAACAGGCAGAAGATGGCAATGACCGCCTGCGCAAAACTGCGCACAGCCTAGGGCCCTGGAGAGTTCCTGTGGAAACGCCAAATCGTCCGACCCACAGCGCGTTGGTCTGGCTTCAAGTTGCCCTGGCCCTGAAGTCTTTGGACTAAACCATGTCTGGTGTCCCCAAATCCCATAGCATGGATAACGGTCCCCATGAGTGAAACTAGGGACATAGAGCCTTCAGACCAGAAACACGCTAGGAGTCCAGCTTGACCTCTTCAATCTGACAGCGCGTCTTCGCCTGCCCAGGCCATTGCTTCAGCCAGTCCGTGAACTTCCGCTCCAGGTAGTCCTGTGGACCATCGGAGGTGCCCATTGCGGGGGTCGCTTTGAAGGAAAACCCGCGGGAAACCAACCCTTTTGGAACTTCCTTGTTAAACCCTGACACATGGCCACCTAAAATTCACCCCAAAAAATGTGATTCGACCCACTCCACAGATGCCGGTGGATGGTATGGGTTGGCTGACCCTTGATTTGGATCTGGGGCATCTGGTTGCGAACCTCTGTGCTTCAAGTGGGATTGCTACCCTGTGTTTGGTTTCACCCTTATGACTTCAATATGGACGGGCGGGCTTCCTTTGGCTTCCACGTCGCATGCCGGCCAAACGGGACGTCTGTCGGACATTCCCATTTTTGCAAGGCCTTTGGCGTCTGTTCACCCAATCCTTCTCCGATGCCAGGCACACGTGGCGGATGGTCTCCAGCATGGCAGCCTGGCAACCGAATCCTGTCTGACGGCACAGTCCCAACCATGGCTGCGAACTGCCTTGGTGACATTTAGCGCCAATTTCAAACGGGTCCCAAAAGGGAACGTACCTTTTACTCCATCGGCTGCTTCGAAAATAAGATGTCGTCGCGTTGTCGCCCCAAGTGGACTCCGCCTCTACCTCCACCAGCCAAAGCTCCACGTTGCCGCGAGCCGCGTGGGGATCCACAGGGTTCACCACCTGAAGATATGTCGCGCACCAACTGTCCAAACCATGACACCCTTGCCTGGTCTCAGGTA